CTGAGAGGCTGAAGGCCTGGCCACCGATGGTAGGGCAGTTGGGGCGGGGGATGTGGAGCAGACCGGAGCCAGAGGAACGGAGGGTACGGGCAGGTAAGTAGGGGGATAGTAGATCAGAGAGGTACTGTGTGGGGTGAAGTTTGTGGCATGTCCGATGTATAAATGTTTAATTTTGAGATATGCAAACCTCACCCTCGCAACTTCTTACTGTAACATTAAACTTTAAAGACTGCCATCTTATTGCTACCCTCATTCCTGTCTCTAGATTTGTAACGGCTCAGAAAATATCAGGAAGATGGTGTGGTGGAAATTCACCTTGAGGTCAACCCACTAATAGAGCCAGTTTTTATACTGTGCTTTGAGACGTCTCAACGACGTGATAAGGTGCTATATCAAATGCAAGGATTATTATTGTTACAATACAATACAAATTTACATTTATAAAATTCCTTTCATGATGGGAGAACATCAGGGGTTAAGAAATAACTACCGTGTCTAAAAAGCATATCTTTCCCAGGGCGGGGAAGAATTAGATGTGGTCTTGTGGGGTTGAACTGGGGAGAAGATTTGCTCAGCAGAGCGAAATGGATCCACAATATTCCAAGGCAATGTTGAAGGTTGGCCAACCAGTTTGTCTTATCAATGTGACTTGGAAGTGTAGGCACATTTTGCTTACAGTTAATCCTGCAAGCAAAATCCCTAACGGGGTAGTACTGTGAATCTATCAATGCTTCAAGCAGCAGAGCTGACAGCGGATACAACCCCTGCGATCTTTAACTTTAATTCAATTTACTGAAATGAAACTAGAAATGCGATCTTTCTGCGTGAAAAAATAATGTATTTAATGGCAGAAACACAGAGCTTTTGGGGCTGAACTTGTTAAGTTCTCAGACAACGAAACGCTTCTGATATCATATTCACCTTCCCTCCTCCATACACTATCTATGATTAATAAATAAAATGGAAACTCCTAAGATGAACATGACGTTCTAGTCTAGACTTACATGTGTTATATTACACTGATGGTAATTTCTTCCAAAGTTCACTTTGTACCCAAAATAGTGCAATATCCTGTGAGCTCCAACAAGATATAAGTTTGATATAAGTAGCAGTTTAAAAAAAAATGTTTTAATTCCACGTATTATGAAAAACGCTGGATATCTGGCACAGGATTAGGGCAACAATCAAATCCCTGGTTTCCGTTGTTCTCCTGGAGAAAGACATCAGCACCATCCTTGTAACCTGCTCCCTGACAATGTCCCCGGGAAGTAGGAAGATATCACGGAAGGAAGATTGCCTAAAGGGAGCTTCTAAACAAGGAGGTGTAGGGGATCAGGGATACAGGAAAGGTTCCAGAAACTGAAGCAGAAAGACAAGGCGATAAGAGAAAATGTTATTAAACCAAGTGAAAGATCGAGATTCTTGTGTGACTTTTAAGTTCACTTCAAATTAAAGCCATCAGCAACAATTTTCCAAAAGCTATTTGATGGACTTGTTGGTGTGTATGTGCCTTTGTGTTAGTCTCTGAGACCCAGTTGGTGGCCCTATTCATATTGAGATAGCTGTCTTAGAAAGGACTGTCTCACTTGCACTAACAGTCAAAGGGCAAGTCCGATGTAATTTTAACTCACCAACCGAACTAAACTCATAAATCACAATGAAAATAATGGAAGAACAGTCTCAAAGTCTGCTTGGAGCAGATCTAATTATACTGCTCCAATGAGAGAAAGAAATTGCAACCATTAAACCTGCTGAAAAAAAGCCGCAGGAGGTAAGATGTTTAAAAACAACCACCTGAGACCTCAGTTTAACGCTTCATCTGAAGGACAGCGCCACCAACAATGCAACATTCACCCAGCAACGTATTGGAGTCTCAGACTCGTCTGTGAGTTCAAAGTCCCAAAGTGGAGTTCAATTCCCCCCCCCACCCACCCACAACCCCCGACTCAGAGGCAAGTGGATTACCGTCTGAGCCAAATGTCAGCCCCAACTACTGGATGAGCCAATATGTAGGTTAAGCCTACATTCAGAGAGACGGTATGTGATCCTGTAGTATTCATTCAACATTAATGCTACCAATGTTCAGCACCTTTAAGAGCTACAATACATGATAAATCTTTAATATCCTAAGTAAATTGCCAATGATAGTGGATAAACCTGCACATTGAAAACAGGGTTGTTTGTGAGGTAAACTATAATCTTGACAAATAAAAAAAGACAAATTTTTAAATATTTAATTATTGCAAAATAATCTACATTTCCTTGGGAGCATTACTTTCCATTTAACCATTAGTTCATTCCAGAAATATGGCTTTAGGTCTATGCAATACAAAGACATTTTGCAGATTCTGGGGCTATGAGTGCAAACTGTTTTCCATCCAAGTTTCACTTTAAATGGAGAGTTTCCATCTGAAGATGAAGAGATTAAATCAAACATGATTTGACTCCAGCCAATTGCCTTCCTGGTGTTTATTCTTGGCATTCGCTGAGCATGTTAAGATAGTTTTCCAAATACTCATGGAAAAGAAAGCAATAACTCTTAAGCCCACACCAATCATATATCAAAAATATTTTGGATCAGATTTATATTGTAGTTGCTTTGGAACAAACTGCAGTGCTTGGCTTAAATCTCAAAACACATTGGGCCCAATTATTTTTGTAATGATCACTAATGTAAAAACATATTTGTAGCAGGAAATATGCAAGCTTCATTCAGAAGGGCTCCAGCGCACATGGGATTATTTTGAGAAGCATATTTTGTTTGCACCTCAGAATTGATCATTACGGCTGTTTTTTGGAGGTACGGGGAAGCTGATTTCTGGCTTTTTCACATCTTCGTTTGCGATTCTGGTTCTGTGGGCACTGCCAGATTTCCAGTCCGTTATCCACATAACCATCTTTCATGCTTAAGCCTAGATGGTGAATGCTGCACACTATACAACCACGGAGAGCATCATAGTTGATCCCATTCTTGTTCTCATCTGACATGTACTTTCCAGAAGGGATTCTGGATAAAGTGATGAAGAATGTGACCCTGGTTAACCCTTAAGAAAGGTTTCTCTGGGGCTGAAGAGGTTGTGAGGAGATGTCTGTTTTGAGATTATACTTTAAAAGTGAATTGAAAAGGCCCCACAACATACCTGTAGCAACTTCAATGGCATTACAGCACACTATGAGTAACGTTTATGGTAAAGACCCATCAACAAATTATTTGCACATGACACAGAGAAGCACCGTATAAAATATGGTCCCCTCAGGTCAAGAACACAATACATATTACTGATGGGGAGGGAAAAATTTAAGGCAGGAAGATAACTTCAGATTACTTCTGATTTTCTTTCCTCTTTTCCTGATGGTAATAACACCACCACCAATTTAGATTTATTTGCAGATTTATAATTCTCTTCAACAACAACAAAATTAGATTTATAGAACACCTTTCACGTCGGGAGGATGTCCGTCAAGGCACTGTCAAGCCGCTCTCTATACCTGCCCATGTAACCATTTTTCATGGGTAAGCCTGAACGACTGTACAACATACTCCTCACCTGCTGTCCACATATCTGCTCGCTTCCCACCAGGAGTCAATGGATTATCGGGAACGGAAACCAAGCGTGATATTCTCCTCCTCCAGGCTGGGGGGTGCTGAGGCTAATTGTAGTGCCCCATTGCTCGCCCAGCTGAGATCAGATAACTCAGCACAGACCAGAGATTAAACTTGGCACCTTCTTGTTCTGTGTGGCTCAGTGCCACACTGTGCACTTACCTTCTAAACCATGTTAGAGTTCATTGAATTATGTCAATTTATTTTATTTGCATTAGCGATGCACACAGACACAGCGCTGTGCCGAACACTGAGTGGCAGGTTATTGGCCAATGAAATTGAGTAGCAGGGGAAGATGCCAATAAACTCGGAACAAATTGTGAATATAACAACAACAACTTGCATTTATATGGCACCCTTCACTCGGAACCGCAAGCCCATGAACCGAGTGGGATAGATATCAGACAGCCTGAGACATGCAGTGGCCTGGACACTAAATTCATTCCTGGCTCTATCGTACACCAGAAACACGGAGTGGTGAGCAGATGTTAGCTCAATAAGTGTACAAAGCACCCGCATCCCAATTTGAAACAACTGTTTGAAACAGATTGTGTTGGAATCACTGTTGCTGGGCAGATGGGAACGCATATTTTTCACACTACTAATCAAAAGCAAATCCTTTCCATCCCTAATCTGTGCTGAGTTATCTGATCTCTACCAAGGCAGCAACGAGAGATTGTGGTGGGGCTAGGGTAGGAGGGAAATCTACAATTGCCCTCAACTCCTGGACTACTGGGCAGGACTCTTAATTCTGATAAGTATCCAATACCCTCTGCGCAGTGTGGTGAAGCAATAAGAGGTACAGCTGTGCTACCTCCCTCGCCCATGGTTGAATAGCCCACTAACCATGCTCACATATGAGATTCATATAGAAACTTGGACACATTACTAGAGAGATGCCCCTGGAGCCATATCCCATCATGAGCCAGCGCTTCAGAAGAAGAGACAAAATTGGAAAATTTTGACCAAAAAATCCTTTTCTAAAATGATACTGGTTACCTGAAGGTCCAGCGCCTTGGGACGTCCTCCCGACGTGAAAGGCGCTCTACAAATGTAAATTTCAGCACCCTTTTTACCCATCATTACCTTGGGACGTCCTCCCAATGTGAAAGGCGCTTTACAAATGTAATTTTGTTTTGTTGCTGTTGTTGTTACTAAGTTTGAAATTTAAAAATTGCTCTAAACAATTATCTACTGCTTTTTCTGCCTCTCAGTCGCACAGAGTGAAATCTTGGTTCAGCTTGTGAGAGTCAAGCAGATGTTGATCGGTTTGTATTACCGCTAAAGACTTTTACAGACCGTTAAAGGAAGAAAAAATACCAATTGATGATGAAAATTATATTCCTGTCAAAACTTTTTGTCAGGTTTGCTTGTTCATCATGTTACTTCTGCAGGAGAGTCTCACATTATAAACAGGTACCACACCAACACGCACTATCACAAGATCTGCCTGAACAGATGCAACTAGCAGCAACTTGATAGATTTAAATGAGCAAAAAGGAAAGCCGTCGATATTTCAGCATCTGTCATCCTCTCGACTGACTTCAGACTTGTGTGCGACAGTTTGTCTGCTCTCCTGGTTCAGAAGACCCACACACAGGTTTACAGCAGCATCGACGAATCATGCAAACAGCAGGTGATGATATGTGAAGAATCAATTAGCACCTCTTTTCTCCTCAGAAATGCACCATCTTGAGATTAAGCTTTGAGAACTGTGAGTTACAAGCCAGCTTGTTTATTTGCGGCTTGAGTCAGAGGGAGCAGGTGGTCATGATGAGTCTCTGCTTGCAACCAGAGGTGAGACGTTTTGAGACAAAGTTAAGGAGTTGGTGAACGAGGCTAGTCCCACCCAAGGATGTGAAGTCAAGTGAATCAATAGTTAATCAGCAGGATATGGGGTAGACAGGGGAACTGTAAGGGATTTAGTGTTTAACAGCTCTCATCTTGCAGGAAACTGGGCAAGTGACTGCAAATGGTACAGAAAATAATGGGGAGATGAAAGGCAGAGCCAACAGGATGAAGAAATTTGCTGGGTGTGTTAACCCAAGATAAGTGGGTTGTAAAAAAAACAAAACAATTACTTGCAAATCTCCTTCTTACAAGCTGCGGCAATCATTCACATTTCAAATGACCCGCAGTATTCAATATTAGTCATTATTTATAAGTACTTCAAGGATAGACAAAAAAAACATCCTGTTAAGTTGGTACAAATTGGGCTATTTTCACTAGAACAGAAAAGGATAGAAGGGGGAATCCAAGGAGGTTTCCAAAATTACATTAGGCTAGGCTTCGAGAGGATGAATAATAAAGGATTATTTCCACTGATTATTTCCAGGTAAAATTGGTGACTGGGAGGCATTAGGTCAGAATCAGTAGTGCAAGAGATAAGAGAGAGTTCAGAAGAAACGTTTTGAATCTGCCAGGGTTCCCAATCATGAATGTACTTCAGTGACATCAGCAAAAATCTAGAGTTGGGGAGAGATCAGACTTGGGCTCAGCTGGTGATTCTGCCCACGGTTGAATATTCCGTGAACACTCATTACCTTAGCTTGTGTGTGAGTTGTAATCATTTCCTCATGGTGCAGAGGGTGATTGGAGAACAGAAGTGTCAAGTGCCTTCAGTATGGGTGCATGGAAGGGCGTGGGTGGGTGGGGGTCGGGTGGTGGTAAATTGAGGTGAACTAAAGAGCTCAGCCAACAAACACTGACTTGAAAGTCCATCAAGCGCCCTTCACTACATTTTAATTCCACACCATAAAACGTCAAATTGGCCCAAAATTGGGTTAGATAACTTCCAAAGAAAATTCAAGCATTTTATAAACAAAATATTGAAATGAGTGTAAATGTCTGGTAGGAATATTACATAACGATCACCGGTGGACGTGAAAGGCGCCATACAAATGTAATTTTGCTGTTGTTGTTGATGTTTATGCAGATGAATCCACCTGATAGACAGTAATTCCACTACAATGCTTCCAAATTATGCAGTTGTTAACTGTTCAGGGATTTATTTCCTATTAACTACCATGTGCATGTATCCTCCACAGTATGTACTGCATAATTTAATGCAATGGAATCTTAAAACCTCTAAATCCTGCATGATGTTTTATTTACCAGCTTTTATAGGTTCCCACAAAGTCTAGAAAAACATGTAAAGGCATTCCACTCATGACTATGTAGCCTGTAATCTGTCTGATGATGTCAGTGGACCACAGGAATGCTAAAGCCAAGGAGACTGCACCCACTAATTCAGCTCAGCAAGAACTATCAAGGTACTCAAACATTTCACTGTCAAGTTGGGTGTGCACCTATGTTTTACTGACTTGAAAAGGACAAAGTTAAAGTCATTATGGAATTGCATATCTGGGGGGAGTTGGGGAATAAGCTTATTACTTAACCTTTACCCTTTGGTGCACACAGGACCAAAATTGATATGATAATCATTCTCTCTTTTCCATTGCTGTCCACATCCCCTCTTTTTTTCCTTCTTGTGTTGACATTTGTTGCTTTCTGCCTCGGTAACCTCGCTTTTTAATGTTTTAACTTAGAGAGTATAAAGTCACAGAACATCACAGCAAAGAAAAGAGGTCATTCAAACCATCAAATTTGTGCCACCTAATCGGTATTGTATAGTTTCAGGGCTCGGCGGCTGAAGGCACGCCCATCGATTGAGAAGTGGAGAGGATCATAGACCTACAGGAGGCCAGAGCTTGCCGAGCAAAGGGGGCAAGTACAGGAGGAGCATATAAGCAGGGAGGTGAGATGGCATGAAGTGATTTGTACCCGCGGTTTATCTTTAAATCGATCTGTTCTGCAATAGGGAGCCAGCGGAAACCTGGCAAGGACTAAGCTGAGGAGGCGAGGATATGGGCAGCAGAGTTTGGAATGAATCGGACTTTATGAATAGTGGAGCTGGGGAGAATCCTCCCACCCCGCCCCGCCTGATGTTATTCACGATGCCCTGCTCACCAGAACCCCCAGCGCAATCTATCTACACAATCTGAAGACCATCCAAAACTCGGCAGCCCATGTCCTGTCCCACACTCAGCTCCGTGAGTCCATCATCCCCGTCTTCATTCCGCTTCTAATTGAAACATTCCATTACATTTTTCCGCAATGATTTGATTTGTCACTTTTCTTTCAGGTGTCCATCGCTCTGTAAAAAGTGTGTCGTGGAACCGTAGACATTTAAAGCACAGAAGAAAGAGCATTCATCTGCGCTGGCTCTTTTGAGAGCCATCCTTTCAGTACCCATTTACGTGCCTTTCAGCCATTCTGATGCCACTCACTGGGTCATTGCTGAAGATAAGAAACAGATTGGGGCTATGGTTGTCTGAGTGACCCTGCAAAGTAGTTACAATGATTAAGCATAGATTTCAGGTCACGTTCTAATTTTCCACAGGATTTACTCTATGTGTATTAGGTTCTTTCGAGATTTTTTTCTTTGTGTTTCTATTTTTTGGGGGGCGCGGTGGGCTTCGTTAGTCCTCACATCCCTCTACTTTTCACTTTCTGTTAGTCCCATTTGTCTTTTGTCTATTTTATGTATAGTTTTTTAATTGACTTTCTTTTCACATACCCGACACTTTGAAGTGAATGTGGCCCAGGACACACGGACCTTTGAACTCCCTTTTTATATCAGGAAATGAGGGTTTGGTGGGGGGAAATCATAACAAACTCCAAGCTATGGGAACGTATCCAAAAATATGAATAGAACATTAGCATCTGTTATTTAATTCCGGTTTTAAAATAAATGCAGTTGAATTTCTGGTCATAAAAAAAAATGGAAGATCTTACATTATTCTGCTGCCCATTTAAGGCATTTGTGTGATTGCAATAACATCCTGCAATGAACCAGGCTGGTAACACCAGTAACTAAATCCTATTTCACTCATGAATGTCATCTATCGTTAAATAACTCAGCAGCAGGCTAGGAGCAGCACATAATATCATTGAAGGGAAACCTGTCTTGTTTACCGCATAATTACGATCCCCATTCAAAGATGTAATTCGATGTAGAAGGAATTATTCAGCATCAATTTGGGTTATTCCACTTTGTGTGCACAACACTGTTGTTTTTTTAATGATTGTTTTCTCCCTTCCTTGAAAGCAACCAACTCACACTGGCGCAAGGTTATGATGCGTTGTCTGTTGTGTTCCCTTTCTCTCCACCTCTCCACTTTAGTACTAAACTCATACCATCTTTTGTGTAGAAATCTAGACAGCGAGTCTACAGCATGTTACTTGGTCATGGTGGAGACACCAAAATTGAACCTCATTCTGTTCTCACCCAGCGTCTCCACATGTGGACTTTATCGGGATTTACTTGAAAGCGATCTGGAGTGGGAATCCTGGCTAAATATTCCCTCTGCCGAGATCAAAATCACTTGAGAGAAATTGTAATAATAATTGCAATTATCTTAACATTTCATATAGCACATTTATCACATCAAAACAACTCAAAGCACTTCACAAAGTTTTCTCTAAAGCACATTAACTGAGTATTTCTAGATGAATGCGGCAGCCAATCTGACCCACATACAGCCAGGCGGTGTAAATTATATTAAATTAACCAGGACACTAGGAGAAACTCTTCATTTTTTTAATATTGCCGTGGTTCCTTTAACATTCACTTGAACAGACTTTTAACATCTTGTCCGAAGGACTACACCTGCAACCACGCAGCTCTCCTCCAACGCTGCACTGAAGAGTCAACCTAGAACTAGGTGCTCTAACCCAGGCATGCTTGGTCTGCATACATATTGATAGGCCTCTGGACCTTTTTTTTGCTCTTTCCTGTCTGTGTATCTATGGTAATTCCTGATAGCAATAGGTGATGCATTTCTAATAATAAAAAAAATCCTTGCAATTGATATAACGCCTTATTGGGTCGTCAAGACGTCTCAAAGCGCTTCACAGTTTATACTGTAAAGTGGTTTTCACTGTGTATTTTGTGGGTGAAACGCGCCAGTCAGTTGCACACAGCAATGTCCCACAAACAGCCATGGTGTGAGTGACTAGTTGTCTGGGGGATTGTTGGTCAGGACAAATGAGAGAAACTCCCTTCTCTTCTCGAATGGGATCTTTAACGTCCACCTAACCCGGCAGACAAAACCTCGGTTTAACGTCTCATCCGAAGAATGGAAGCAATTAATACTGACTTGTACTTCTTAACTTACTTTCAAAAAGCTGCATGAGCATGCTCACCAAAAGAAATTCTCCTCAGAGCTGAAGGGATCAGATTTCAATGCCTCCACGTTTGGTCAGTCAAACTGCAACCGCGTCACATTTATATGGGAAGCAATGAATCCAAGTGGAAAGACCAGAGATGTGTTGTTTGTGACACTCTGTGCAGCTGTATTGTGTGCACACTCTGGACTCTGGCCAGGACATTAGGAGATCAAAAAAGCCGTTTCACTTCCTCTCTCCCATTTCCAGGAGCACGGTCCAAATGCTGAGTTGACTATTTCGAATTCCAATTCGGTCCAATCAATGCCATTTCTCTCTGACCTTAAGAAAAAATCCAGCCTGTTAATTTTGACTGTTAGAAGCTTGAGCACGAACTGCCCTCACTCAAACTGCCAAGAGCAGGCAGAGGTTAAATGAGATGCGGGAATTACGTCTCTCTGAAAAACTGCAGCAGGATTTTGACACTAAATATAGTTTGAAAAATTAGTTTTCCTTTTAAAAGTATCGCGACTGAAAATTAATGCTTTGTTTTCCTGGGGAGGGGAAGCTAATCGTGTCCAAATGTTTTCCCTTTCTTAAAAGGGCTGCTTCAAATTCCCGACCACTAAATTGAGTCAATGTCTACTCTCCGATATGAAAACTGGTAACTTGAGTGAGGGCAGTTCGTGCCCCTGGAACTATATTCCAGCATAAGCCAATGCCTTCAGTCAAGCAAGAGAGCTAACAAGACAGAAAACAAATTGTATATTCTGGTGCAATTAACGCTTTACTTTTTCCAAAGGAAGGAGGTAAGCACAGCATCTCCTCTTGGGGCTGAGCTATATAAATGCGTGAAGGGCGCTATATAAATACAAGTTGTGCTGGACAATGGAGTGTCGGAATCGAGTCAATCCTCTGTGGTGGGTGTTAGTAATCCAGTTCCTGAGGCGGGAAGGTCCCCAGTATTCCAAGGCTTTGCTGATGACAGACCAGCCAGCCTGGTTTGATGGTAGAACTTGGAGGGTCCGATGGGTCATGGGGAGGAGGGGTGGGGAGGGGGTGGACAGGAATTATTCCTAAGCCCCCTCAAGACAAATCTCTAATGGGAAGGGTCGGCCTACCTGGACAAGCAGTCGGAAGCTTGCTAGACAGTTTTATTTGGTTAAACTCCAATCGTATCTCAGAGCACACTTTCAGGTTCCTAAGTCTTGACTCTTGCCACTCCGCACCTAATACTCTCCGGAATTAGATAAACAAGTGCACCTCTTAAGGGAGAAAGAGTGCATTCCATTCCAGACACAGGGAAATTTCCATGTGTACGTACATGGAACGCTCAGTTTGGTTTACATACACTTAAGCAAAGTGATGGGTGTACGCATGTGACTGACCAACAAATATGTTTTATTTGTCTTCAAAAACAGTGAGTGCACTAGACAATATTTACAGTGAACTGATCCATTAGCCAGTATAGAATAAAAGTTCTGTCTTATCTTTCTAAGACTAATTAAATAAAGCCTTGGTATGAAGGACTCCAATAAATCTTAACGCGTAATGCAAGCCTCTAAATTAAGCAAATGTATTTCTTGAAGCCCTATTATAAATAATAGTCGTTGATTAAATACGACTCTCACAAGAACCACTTTACTGATTCTTAAGGGCTTGCGTTAATATGGCTGTACCGTGTTTTGTCTGGTTTTGAAATGCAATTGCAGAACTCAATGGGTTAAATTTATTTCTGAATTGGGAACACAAACCCTGGGCTTTTTGTAAAAAAAAACTCAATACTGTTATGTTTCTAGTCAGTAATCACTCAGCAACAGCAGATAAATGCAAAGTAAATGATTCATTTTGAGGTCAAAATGAAGCACTTAACTAATAAACTGGAAGATGGATTCATATTTTCAGAGACTAACTATATTTTTCATTGCAAGAAAAGCAAGTAACAGTCACAGAGGGGGAGGGTGTAATGGACTGACCTTGTCTTTAGTTAACTTCAGGTCTTTAAAAAATGTGTCTTGACCAGGGACAGGAAGTCCCCATGCAGACAGAGTGTCTGCTAACCCATAATGTTTGGCACAGTGGAACACTCTGTTCAATGCCACCGATGAGGAAGAATTTCAAACAAAAAAAGCACAAGAACTCCGAAAAAAGAAAATTGGGGATCTGACTCCTACGATCTCACAGAAACGCTCGTATTTTATGTTCTAAGAAGTTAAGACTTTGAAGTTTTAGAAATCAGCTGGGGATTCTCAATAAGATTTCATTGCAGGGATCTGATGACTTTAGCATTTTTCACAATGATGATTTATGCCACAGGCTAGCGGGGGATAGTATTTGTTGGAAGTTTACCAGATTCTTACCTGATGTACTGAAGTGCAAGAGCACTGGCCAGGAATATCCTATAAAAAGATAGCTATAAAAAGCAAAACACTGGAGCGCTTTGTTCTTTTTCTTCCAATACCAAAGCTCAAGGGAGACAAATCTTTTCATGCTTGTGAGATTTTACACAGGTTTCTAACCTCCAAAAGAAGA